AAGTTAATCGCACCGCTGATCAGCCACCGGCCGGGAGGCGGGTTCGAAGCCCTCTGACCTTCGTGAGATGAACACTGCTGCTGATTCCAAACAAGGATAAAACGGTTGCAAAGTGCCCCCCGGGTTTTCAGCGTAAATTGGCTTCAATGACAGGATAAAATCTCAACAGAATATGATCGAATCTCCTCACATCACTCACATTACAGTCCTACGGTATCACCCGCACCAACAACACCCATGAGGACAGTCGGCCATCGTTTTGTACACTGACACTTCATGAAACAATACTTCCTCTTGCTCCCAAGAGATCTTAGCATGATTCAGAAGCGTGTCCCTGTTTATTTAGGGAAGATGGTACTGATCACGGGATAGACGACTTCTAGGCCACTTGCTAGAAACTGGATGGAAAACCTTATGGGCTTGATAAACGCAGCACAATGAAGTCGACATCTAATAATTCAGCGTCTTGACAGCCCCTTCAGTTAGAAGTGCCACAATCGTCCTAAGATTTCCCACAAAAAGAAGATAATGTCTTCAGAGGATGAGAAGATAGAACGGAAGAACCAGATTGGTGAAGTGCTGCGTGAGTTAACTTACGAAATATAATCCATTCTCGTCTGAACTTGTCCTGTTACATTTATTCTCTTTGGTCAATACGAAAGGAGGAAAGCAGTGGACTCAAGTTTTGCTCTTATCGGACCTCTTCAGTAGTGTATTTCCTTGGCCGTGCCGGGCTTTGAACTCCAGATTTCTGACATGCGTGGCAGCTGATCTCCATCAGTACATCAACGTACGCTGGATGCATCAGAATCATCACACCTGAACAGGCAAATGTATTCATGCTTGAGTAATGTGAAGGATTTTACTCGACGCCTCAAAAAGCGATCTTGTCCAGGCTCCGTCAATCGATTGGCCCGTGTTACTGGATCAATCACATCAGTTAAGGGTGAACACATTCGCCTGTTCAGGCGTGATAATAATTCTGGTACGCCCAACATGTGTTGGTGATGTAGTGGTGAAAATCAACCGCCTCACATGTCAGATGTCCGGAGTTCAAGCCCCAGCACAACCAACGGTACGCACTGTTGAATAGCTCCAACGAAGACAAAACTCAAGAGCATGCCCCTTCAGAGGTGGACTAAAGAGAGTGACTGTAACGGGACAAGCTCGAATGAGAATGATGCCGGCATAAACTCCACAAATCCCACAACCATCCACAACGAATCAGTTATCTAGGTTGGCCACTGATGATACCGGTGAATGACACCTCAATCCGTCCAAATCCAAAATGTTGCGTTCCAAACACTTGGCCACCAAAGATAGGCGTAACTGGATGTGATGAACCCATGCAAGAGTTCGAGTGATGAGAATTCTGAAGGAACACAATATCATAGTTTATGTTGATGGATAGAGGCAAAGGCAGGCTTCAAATTGACGTAAGGTAAAGATACTACACATTCACCCCTGGTCAATGTGACGCTTGACCTTCAAAAACCTGACTGACTAGACTGTACATTAGCCTGCTCAGAATGGTACCAGAGACCGCCTTAAGAGCTGTGACTAATAAGCTGATACACCGATGGTTTCTACACGAATTTCTTGTATGCACTTTAAATAATGGAGTCATTGTCTTCCGTTTCGGTACACTATCTTCATTTTGCCGGAGAGTGCCCACAAAGGAGTTCCGTTATACAGGGTAGAAACCGTCTCTTCCGAGTGCTTTTATGCAGTGAAATTTTTAGGCTGATTGTTGTTACTGATGAAGAACTGGTGTCGACGTTCCATCCAAGTTTGCGTGATTCTTCCGGAGGTTCGGATGCTTAAAGCCAATTGAATTGACCTCTGTAGCTCAAGATGACATTTTGTGGACGAATTGGGGTTCCCTTCTTTACTTTGATAGTCGAAAGTTAAGCACAACACCGTCGATATCATGAGCCACGGCATCAGGAAGACCAGTAACCGGAAAATTGAAATGCGAATGATCGAGATCCCCCCTTCTCCTGCCCCATAGCGCGGTTTGACGTGTATGACCGAACTCGGGTCTTGTAGGCACAAAATTGTATATCCATTGAAAGATAAAACAAGGCCTAAGCAAGAACTACCTGTTGCCCAATTCGAAATAAAGTACAGACGTTGAAAGCTTCGAAGTGGCAAAGAGCATCCTAAATTTTAGGGTTTCGTTTCACTAGGCAAAGGTTCGGCTTAAGTGGTTGACAGACAAATGGATTAGGGAGGCTTAATTGTAAGGATTGTGAGAGGGTTAGTGAATGAATAGCTTCAATGGTAAGTGAAATTCCTCGGTTGTCTAGGCCAAACGATGGATTTGGTTGAAGAACCTACCTTGAAAATTCGTCTATAAAGATCGACTCATAGAAGTTGAAATAGCAAGGAAGGAGGTTGCCAAGATTTTTTTGAAAGACCCTCGCAGGAGCTTATGACTCAGCAGATTGATCTGCTTTGCAGTAAAGGCTGACCAAGACCGAGAAAGCAGATAGTGAACGGTGGGTATCCCACTCCCGATATTGCTACGAACGGTAGTTGCGTTTGGGGTCTCATCCGGCTCACGAAAAGGCACGTTTATCAACTACACTGTAAAACATGCCTACAGCTACGGTTAACCATTGGGTGATCGAGGCAAATTCGCGTCTTGCAGATAGGGTGTTTTTTATCTGAGATTGAGCGCACAAAAGGCGTCAATGACAAGACAAATCTCATCGGAGCGAGCCGAAGAGGTTGTAAATGATGGGAAATGACTGGAGTACGATTGCACTGGTAACAGCAGCATGCTGATGATACAGACAAATCTCGAAGAGATACTAGTTACCAAAAGAGAGAGAGAGAGAGTTGTTTCGAAACAATATCACGGTACATGGAGATAATCTATCCGAATTGGGGTTCTCCAGGCTGTTTTATGAAGGCATTTTATTGTCGATCAACCGTTTTTACAATGAGGTAAGACAACGTAAAAACTGAACCAACAAATGATACGGTGAATACAGTCATCGCGACACCTGAAAATTCAACAAACCTTGTGCGCTTCGTTGTTGCTGCATTGCGTAATTAAGCAGTTCTCGATGGGACATATCTGAAAAGAGCGGGAAAAGGAGACAACTAGCGTTTTCCAAAGGAATGAACGGATAAACATATAGGTGGGTTGCTGTTTTTTAAACTGAACTAAAATAAACCATATAACTAAACTTGCGGAGAGTGAACAGTCAATGGAATTAGAGTCCACTTCATTGATACCCATGTCATCGTTTCCAGTTGTATGATTGTGGACCTCCATCAATTAGGATGTCGACAGAGCAATGCCCAAAAAAGGTTGAGATCAGGGGAGAAAGCAAGCGTTCTGTTGATTCTTGAGGTTGGCTCTTCTACAGTAAATCGTAGCTGACGGGCAGTGGATTGCACAGGAACTACCTTCTTTCTGATATGTTCCCTCTTAAGAGATTACTGCACTCGCCAACAGAATGTGCGCCCCATGATCCAACTGCACTGTCCTCTCACACCACAAACAAACTCAGAGGAAGGATGGACTGGAAAAGACTGTCCTAGTCCATTTGTAACTGATTGGTGAAAACGCGGTTGTTTGTAGTTGTGCGGTCAATTCGACCACAATGAACGCTCTGAACATATTCAGTACCGCAGAACACCTACAGCTAGGAGATATGCCAGTGCACTGGCATGTACCATACTGCTAGTCAGGTCGCTTCAGCTGCGTCGGTGCAAGCCACCAACCGGCATTCTACGCTGCTGACAGGGCTGGTAAAAAAACATGTTTACATGAAGAACATATATTCTAATATTACGACAAAAGTGATCGCTTGGAACTTTATACATTGAATCACTCCAGTGTCCAGCTTCAATAGCATGACACGAAACAAAAATCATGAAGGCTGTGTCGTCGGGCTACCGATTAGGTCAACCTTAGGGGAACTCACAAGTGTAGACGTCTGGTGAAGTAGCAATGCTAGTAACGTCAGTCGTTTACCGTAAACGTCCAGTCATCATCATCATCATCATCATCATCATCATCATCATCATCATCATCATCATCATCATCATCAGCTGCTGCTGCTGCTACTGTTGTTGCAAAAAAATACCCGAAATTGCCGTGGAGTGCTTACAGTTTCGTTCACAGATGATTTGAGGAGACGGGGTAGATAGCTGCGCATGGGAGACTGTAGCTGATGTAATTTATGTGGACTTGTCCTTAGAGAGATCGGCATATGTGCTATGCATTGAAGGCAACAGCTCACGTGCATCAGCGCTACTGACAGTGTGACTTGTCCGCGTCTCACAGTGTCCCTAACCATTGATATGTCCCACCTCGGGGTCCTCATTCAAGGATATAGTAGTGACCCCAATCCAGCTGAGTTCACTGAAAAAGGCTTTCATGTTTGCTGCCAAGTCACTCTTTGACCTCCCCTGGCTCGTTTCCACCTTCCACGTGATTGTACGAAAAGAGTCCTTCGAGGAAGTTGGCCAACTGGCATACGGACCAAGCCAGCGCAACCCATGGGATGTGATCAGTTCATCTATCGTGAGCGAGTTACTTCTTCCGAATACCGTCCGATGTACTTCAGCATAACTGATCTCGCCAGACTCGGGAGATGCCCCCAAGACATTGATGGTCAAACAGTAAGTCTTTTGACGTCCTTAGCTCACAGCGACCAGGCTTCAGACCTGATAATACGAAGCTCACCGCAGCACTGTAACACTGACCCTTGAATTCACTTCCAGTAATGAGATTCGAGCCAAGAGTAGGGTGAGGCATCCATTATGTGGACCAAAAAGCGCTTCTTGTACGGTTCCAAGATTTATTTCCTCGAGGGCGGTTGCGGTGAAGGAAAGTGGATCCGGAGGTACTTGTTCCTCGGAGGGTTGCTGTGCATCCTTCCATCGACGAACTTCTCACCTGACAGTGCACTTGAATAGGACCTAGGTGCCCTACCAACGTGATAAAGGTTGTGATGCTTACCAGCTTTGCTATCTTTCAGAAAACGGAGAAGCTCCTGTCGACCGTGAAATCGATGCATCATTTCATGCATCGAGATTTCCTGAAAGCAGGCTCGAAAGTAGCAGCAAAATGACATGCTGCCCAAATTCTACATTGTTATATCTTCTCTGTGCGGATGCCCATGTGTGCATTTGGAACTTGGTCAGAACACTTGGAGAACGTTGTGCGCATTCAATGCAACTCCATGTGACTGGTGTGGTGCGGATGCTCTGATAGGCAAAAGCAACGCGGCAAGTCATATGGTAAAAGAGCGTGAGCATAGAAAGCTTCTTTTACCTCCACTGGCAAGTCACCCAGATCACGCAGACGAAGGTCACATGTACATGAAGGAATTGCGTAAGATTTCTATTGGGTGGTTATCGATTGGAAATGTTGAGCAACCAAAAAATAGTTGACACTGAACCGGAAATAAGCACGAGACAGCCTAGACGGAAGCCATTGAATTATCAGAGTCAACAGCTCATATCTCGATTCCTAGACCGCATCATGTTTTGTGCGTGTACTTCTAATGGAGGCAATAAGTGGAAAGTTAACTGAAGAAGATAACTGACCTGCCAAGCATGCACCCAACTCAAGCATAACATCAACTAACAGCACATGTAAGACAGAAGTGAATCTATAAAAAATCTCACCTTCCAGTGGCTTGTTGGGGCGTTCTTCTGCATGCAGAAACCAATTATTGGAGGGTGGAGTTTCCGGTGTACGGTTAGCTGACCCAAATGAACCAGCCCTCCCCGCATCTGAAGGTGACCAAGAACGATGACAGTGAGTGCACAGCACAAACAAATCCAGATTCAGCAATCAAACTAAACGATTCAGTAGTTCAAGATCATTTGGTTTTCGAACGAATGAGCGAAAACGAGAATGGTTAGGGTTGATAGAACCTGTGCTAGATGCATCACTCAATCGTCCGTGCTTGCTGCTTGTAATGTTCCAAAAACGAGCCATTTGTATTACATCAGGTGATGTGGATAAGCCGAACGCCAGGTTTCAAATGTCAAAAACGGTGTCACGATACAGATTATACTCTGCGGTCAAGTGACCAAAGATAGAATTTCGAACTTCGAGCAGGAAATCGACACAGAGTTCCCAAGGTTTTTTTTCTGATAACAGTCAGAGATCAGGGAGAAGCAATATCGAACAGTGGGTCCCATAAATAAAAACAAATTTTCTAGGTTCAGTAACCAACTGAGCTACTATCAGCTCACACAACTCTAGAAAGGAACAGTCGATACAAGGACAGGTTCGAACAGCAGATCTTTCGGACAGTGGTCCACATCTAAAACAATAAGCTTATTTGTGCCCAAAAAATGGCTTGGACTAAGAAGTAAATATGGAATAAAGTGAGTAATTACCAAGTAATTTGATACCAGGATTTGAAGTGCACTCACTAAAAAGATTTCCCATGAAAGCATCTAACTGCGAGTGTCAAGCAATGTATTCCTGTTCGGAGCCGCATGATCTACTTCATGCTACAGCGAAGCAAATACCAAATACGGGTAGACCGGTGGGATATGCGAATCGGTGTATACCACTCTCATCCACCAAAAAAACGTGGAAAGTACGGAAGAATTCACTCCAGAAATTGGAACTATTCGTTTTTATAAAGACATCTCGGAGGACGAAAGACGACAAAACAAAACACAGCCAGGAAAGACAAAGAGAGGAAGCCAAGTTTCGTTACGATCTTCATGAAAAGTTTTATAAAGACATCTCGGAGGACGAAAGACGACAAAACAAAACACAGCCAGGAAAGACAAAGAGAGGAAGCCAAGTTTCGTTACAATCTCTCATGAAAAGCAAATTCGGTACAGTACACTCAATCAGACGTAACTTCCATAAAATTCTATCAGTAACATTTCATCGTTTCAAAGACCAATTGTGTTTTTCCTACGCTCGAAGAGACCCAAGGTGGAAGAGGCGATACTGTCCCGATTGCGCGAACATTACTACTTAACGGATGGAAAAAGTGCCCACCAGCCACCCATCCCACTCCGGAAATTTTCTACAGTTTGAAATTCAACTTAGCAGGAGCGACCATTTTTCATAAATCAGGATTAGCAACCCCATGAGGGTTGACTTCTGATTGGTTTTAACGGGCTGCAAAGTCTGGACCCAGTGGTTAAGTCCTGTGCACATTACTACTGAAAATACCAAGGCTTATGTGTATTGGGTCAAGCCGTAAGATGTACCTTAGAATATGCGCTCAAGGATGGTTGGCACAGATATTTTAGACAATGGTGAGCGGAATCAATCAGTTGTGTGGCCCTAAATTCATCTACGGAGGCCCATATCCTTATGTCGTCACATCGTAATAAACGAAAAATTGCTGTTCCCTAAAAACGAAATCTGAATTGTTCAGCTCAGCCAAAAAGGAGTCAAGGAAAACTGTCCAAATGATGCAGGACTTGTATGGACAAGGAGCACGACTTTCAGTTTACAGCCCACACACGCGTAGATTGTGTGTGGCTCATACAATACCGATAGCCGATACATTCGTGAAGTGGGTAAAAAAACACTGACTTCCGTAACAGTTGGTTAATCATTACCAAAAAGCATGGGCTAAAATTTCCTACGTACTAATCGATATCTAGAAAGGTTGTAGGGAGCACCAAATTCCTTAAAATTGGACATGTGACTGGGCCAAACATTTTAAAAGGATCACAGTGTTCACTTTCAGGATAATCCCTTTAATGTTGTTTTGCGTCCGGCTATAGTGGGCGTGATAACCTGACAGCATAATAATTCCCCTATTCATTTGCATGCCCCGCCCATGTATTTCTGACCTCCATATGCTTTGCTCACACATAGCCGCCACTCGCCTTGTCGTAAGGGCCGCCCTGTCCGATACTGGCGTGCGTGTCACTGACCTACCTACCCACCTGTGTTCTTGCCTGCTCTAACTTGCCCGGTCGTCATTTCCGTGTAATCACACCATTAGTCAGAATCAAGAGAATATTCTAAGAAGAGATGACCACAATCCACACTACACAGCCAGCATTCTGCTCGCCGCTGTCCCGTTTGTAGACCTTGATACTGCATTGTGCTGGTCAATAGAAGACCTATGCACTTGTTGATGCGAAGGACCTGGACAATCGAGGTTTGTCGTGTGGTTTTGCTCACTTTAGTGCATACAATACCGCACTGTTCGAACCGAATTCTTCATTTTAATCTTCGGGATCATCAAACCTACTCGAAACTGAAAGTTCCGTATCGGGAACCACAACAACAAGCCAGTTTACCCACCTTGGTATACCAAGGGATTATGATTAACATCACTCAACATATTGTTGTTTGAGTGGCTAACAAACCTGAAGACGACCGATGAAAAAAATAAAATGGATGAAAGGAAAAACCACAGGTTGAGGCCGCACACCTAATAGATTAAGTGGAAAAAAACTACCGTTGGTTACAGAAAACTACAATAGTTGGTTGATATCCTGGAATATAGACCTTCCTATACCAGAATAGGTCCGGCTGACGGGCGATCCTTTCTATGAGGACCACTATATGGTTACATGTGAACGCTACCATCATAATAAATAAATCGTTCAGCTATAACGTCCTTCCGGTGCCTGGCTGCCATGCCACCCGAAGGAAGCACGAGGGCTGGGATACTGCCAGGTCGCCTAGGCCTAGACAGGGGAAGTCGAGTGGCAGAGGTCGGGTTCGAACCCCGAACCTTCCGGTCAGTAAATTCGCGCTCTAACCACTTGGGCCATCTCGCCCCTACCATCATGGACGAAACATATTCGTCTGGACACCAACAAGAAGTCACTGGAACCGTCCAACACTACGATCGGACGTTTGAACCGCATGTCAGGATTTTCGAACATATGGCGATAAAAAGAGAAGTTTCACAAGCATTGCAATTAATCGCACACAGTATTGGATCAGCGGGGAAGGATAATCAGTCGAATTTATATTTCCCACCTGTTTTACGTGATCGTTTCGATGGTTCTGCAAAAAGGGAAAACTTGTTATCTTTCGTTGCGACTTTTTTCACGACCATATGGGCAAACGAAACGATGCAAGCAGACGACAATGAAGCGAGTATGCGAAAAAGTGTGTTAAACTTTGACATATCATTCATTAATCATAAGGTCGATGAAACCTCTGGGTAACTTATCGCACGTCTCATCCTTCTTTGGGCTCATCAGGTGGGGCCAGTCCCTGAATTTCCATCAATTATAGTTTCTATCTGCAATCCCATGTCTTTGATATCGTTTCTAATGAAAAATGAGGCGGCCTTTGTGCAGTGCATTCAGTTGAAGAGATCTACAACGATGGATTCGGATGAAATTCAGCTAGGTTCCTCGTCAACACACAAGTTTTCGCACTACCTACTGGCGATAGGCACACCGCGACGTCTCACTACAGACTTTAATAGTACACCTGAGTAAAATTGACCCGTAATAATGGAAGTAATGAAACGCACAAATCACGCACACAAAATGCAGGCAATAAAGTACCGACTGATTAGTAAACTCAGTATTAACCAAAATAGTAGAGTGTAGCCTATCCGGCTCCATTGCAGACTGGTAAATGTTCACAGGTCCTCTGAACCAGAAGACCAGCAATGCGACCTATGTAGCTTGCAGGAAAAACGAAAACGAATAAGCGCATGACGATTGGAGAGCTACGGACCACAAGTGTGTACTTTCCGCTCCGTGTGAGCAGACAACTCCCGATGAATTGGATGTTTCCAAGCTATACGTGAGAATAGATTTTTCGCAGCTAAACAGCAGATGAATGTGTACTAAGGTCTTTGATGCTGACGCCTTGCACCTGATATCCGTCGGGCACCGATCAGTCCGCATACGAACTTATCCGTTGTCCCTCATGGTTCTATTATAAATCCTATTCCTGCCTTTGTGCAGATCACCCGAGCCCCAAGTGGTTGAGACCAAATGAAATTCCTTTCATAATTATTGCCATCTGGCGTACTGGTGTATCGCTCTGCGATAAACACATCGTCCAATCGCTGATTTTTTTCTACCGATGCGCAACTGCTAAATCTTTTTGTGCAACATCATGTGCGGAACTAAAATCCTTCTCCTAGACAGGGAATAGCAAAGGATTTGATCTTCATGGGACAGTAAATTAGGAGTTATCTGACTTATTAGGTGGTACTTTCCTAAACGTACCGACCACTTCAGATTGTTTCAACAACTGCTTCAAACATGTTTATCTGATCGGTTGAATGATAGTATTGTACTCATAGCTTAAAACGTCCACGGCTGTAAGATTCGGGTGAACAAATCCCTTCTTTTTACCCTCTGAAGAAAAATCTAACAAGAGACAGTATATCCTCATGCTGAACTTTATGGTAAATGAGGTCGTATGAGGCTAGAGGCCCTCTCAGACGGCTATTGCACTGCCAAATGACAGGTTCTTTCACCTGAAGTCCTTTCGCTATTTGTTCCAACTTGGGGGTCGCGAAGTTCCGGTTAGTGAAATTGGTATATATTAAATGAGGTCGTATGAGGCTAGAGGCCCTCTCAGACGGCTATTGCACTGCCAAATGACAGGTTCTTTCACCTGAAGTCCTTTCGCTATTTGTTCCAACTTGGGGGTCGCGAAGTTCCGGTTAGTGAAATCTGGTATATATATATATATATATATCCGTTATTTGGACAACAAAGTTTGAAGACAATAATCGCACTTCAGACTGATCCACTTGTTTAACTCTGACATTGCCAGACGGTTACATCAGAGGTCGTTCCCATAATCCAGTTCGTCCACAGCAGGCATCGTTTGGTATAACTCCAGAAGTGACCAAAAATGGGTTCGCAAATGACCCACCATCTGAAAGTTCCGAAGTGTAAAGCAAAGAGATTCTGAGACTGCCACCAGACCTAATACTGAGTAGCATTAACTAATCAGGTGTGCACGCATCAGATGAACCTTCCGAGTCACTTACATTGGAATTTTCAACCAGAAGGCTTAAAAACCAGAGGCCAACGGCCAGGCGTACCGACGTTATACGGAGATGGGATCAATACCTTCCGGAAAACCTTTCAGCTATTTGTGGGTAATGGTGAGATACACTAAAAGAGTGTTCAAATCACACCCATTTAAAAAGGTCACAGTCTTTACACAAACGACGCTACAGAACTCAAATTATCAAGCACACAGGTGCATAACGAATGATGGTCTCACCTTTACGAACTTCCTCTATGTTAGGATGACATAAAGTAAAGCATTATTAAAAGTAACACGAGGGTATTGGGTGACAGTCAGTTCAGGGACTCTCCCTCTCCTTATTCGTTCCACCTCGGGTTACACTCAAAACACTTTTGTTCATTAATAACACAACTTGTTTAGTAGGTTAAAACCGAAAGAACAAATTGGAAACCTGTGATAGGCACCGAGGTTTACGAATAATCCTCCACTTTGGACAATGTTTTACTTCGAACAATGGTTCCAAGGAATACCAAAAGCAATGCACTAGCACATACATATCTGACACAAGGATAGGAGTGAACCGCAACCATCAATTTGGTCTATGCCACATTTCCCAAGTTGAGCGGTATTCAGATCTTCACTAAGAAGGTCACGCCACACCTAACAGAATCCAAGGTCGCAGTAATCCAACTGTTCGTGGGAGAATGTCACTTGAAAATCATGCTCACAAGAAACAGTGGAGTCTAAGTGTCCGCCTGCATGGTGAACTAACATGCTTTACTGACCTGTTGTTCTCTCTCTCCGCTCTCACTTATTCTGTTATTCCCATGAGTATGAAACTTGCACATTACAGTGAACGCAGAAAGTTAAGATCGATTACTTGGATCGTTTGCCGTCTCAGTAACCAATATTACTCTTCTGGGGGCCCTGATCAAGAGAAACATGAGTGAGCAGGGAGCTAAGAGCGTAAAAAATGTCGTACGAAAATAGGCCACATACGGCAACATTGTACCACAAAAAAATCAGGGTACCACCAGTTAAGTCAAAAGTAACCTCCCGGGTATAACGTAAATGTAGCTGTTCTATTTGCGCCAAATAACCCATCGTCGGCGCCGGCGTTGCGTCTCATGCGTATCGATTGGTATTAAAAACGAAAAGAAAAATCAGGATCAACGGAGCGAACTAAACGAGGAGGGCCATCCCAGAGAGTATAGCAATGGAGCGAGTGCAGTTGTCAACACAGCCCTTCTGGGAAGAGTCAAACTAAAAAAGTCACATAAGGAAACGCGAAATGTCCCAACCACAAATCGCTATCCTCTAGTGGAATTCACTCCACAGTTGACACAATATAATTTCACAGCATTCCTTGGGGAAAAAGCTGGATTCACTATTGACAATGATGCCGTGGAATAAAACTATACTTCTTGACCCACGTAGTAATTAGTAATGGGTGGATGCACAACTTCCGCGTCAAGCAAAAATGGCTACCGAGTTGTTTCTCAATTACATACCCAAGTTTAGGTTGATTTTCATGGATTTACCCAAGAACATTTGTTTTGACCAGACAATCTGTCAGTTCCAAGCGTTACGTTGCGTGGTTTTTTATCAAAATAAAAATAAAAATGACTGTCCAAGCTGAGTGGTGTTCAGTCAAGTCTATTTGTTCACAAAGTACGTACATTTGATAAGGTCTCACCTTTAGAAGGTTCGACTGTAACTGAAACGACGTGAGATAAGCAAAGAAATTGCTGAGAATGTTGCTTTCAGAAAAAAAACAAGACCTAACGGAAAAGATGTAACTGTACGCGCGATATTCAGGATATACGTCTTAATCACTGGGAACGAGGAGCTGAGGATCAATGTGAATGGCTTCATTTAGCAGGGACATAACGAGACCATGAATAAGGAGTGTCAACAGACATATTATTATCATATTATATTATATTATTATATTATTATTGTATGTATTATTATTATTATTATTGTATTATATTAGTATATTGATTATTCTTTCTCTATCCTGAGAGAGAAGCCTCTGTAAGGCGTTCACGGGACTATATTCAATAGTACCTGTGGTCAATAGTCAGCGAGAACACGTGTATATCTTCCAAAAACCGAACGAAAAAGGGGACAAACATTGCCACAGCAATGACTAGACTAGAAAAGAGGAAGCAACTTCAGGGATATAAACGGGTGCACAGAGTGGGTTCGTGGAAAATGAAGCAACATTGTCGGTAGGAAAGTCTTAGTGGCGGTGAGAAATCGTAGAAAACGTGGTAGTTTAAGGAGCGAATAAGAAGTGATCAAGCGATAGGTATCCCACTATGATAGAAATTATGTCATGCGGCAATTCAGTATTTGATACAATGAACCCCGAGGTCAAAAGCAACCACACTTTAAGAAGTTAATACATTTACAGGCGCAACAACGAAGTGTGCGGTAGCCACAACAAAATAAACGATGAGATGAACGTAGTCATACATAGTCATACACTGGACGCAATTGGTCTTCCCAGTTCAGATGAACATCACGAATTTCCGACGAAAGTGAGTGCAGTCACGTGAACTCTGAATTGAAGAGTGATTATGTTGATGCTTTGATTTTTTTACAAGTTATATTGACAGTGAAAACCGTTACTACCAACCACATGATCAAATCGATTCCAAGCATGATGAAATTAATCCGAGTTTATCAGATTTCTTTGTTTGGATACAACTCATCAAGAATGGCGAGTAGCAACACAGTGAAAATGTGCAGTGTCCCAGAGAGGACGAAAAACCGGATAGCAGCGTTGGACAATTAACCCCAACTAAAACGATGAATGCGGTGGCCGCTAGACTTACGCACAGATCTGCGCACTGGAGGATAGGTCAGTAACGGGTGTAAAAAAGTATGGTTCATGTCTGTACATAAGTGACCCAAAATTAAATAGATGTTGAACTGAAAAACCCCAAGTATCAAAGCAAACCTGTGGGCTTTTTCACATTCAACCCCGAGTTCAGTACATTAGGCAGTGAAAGCTCTCCTATTTTTGAGGTTCCCTACATTGGACAGATTAGGCAGATTGATGGCAAATCAGTTGCGAATTCCGTAGATGTGGCATTCGGTGCTTAAGGAAACACAATGGTAAAAATTAATGACAGTGGTTATGTATTGAAGGATACATTGAACAAGCCGAGCAGCGGATAAAGTCGTAAAGCATTCCGAGGTGAGGCAGGACTTAAAAAAGTTAAGATTACTAAGTCTCCACGATACAATATCAGTTCATTTGTGAATATCACAGACGACGCAAATCCGAAGAAAGTTAATGTAAAGCACGGAATGTAGTTCTGAGAGTGAAGTGAAATGTAGCGCGGCAAACGCTCCATTCCATTCAGTGCTCTGTCTACGGTAATTGAATTCCGAAGGTTGGGATTTTTTAAATTGCGCTCCTGTGAAAAACATGCTCCTGTCGACCTAAGAGACTGGTGGAATGGCGTATCTATCGCACGATTTCCGTTGCACTGAACACTAGTGAGTTGCATTCAATCGAGGCGTGTTTCAGGAGTGTGTACATTATAGTCAATAATAGGATATGCAGCCGGACAACCTTTGTCAACCGAAAATATACCAGATACGAAATGAGTTGGACTGAGTGGCAAAAAAGGCGAACTGGAAGTTAGTCTGAAGTCAATTCCAGTCTTTCAGTTGCCATGCGATTTTTCCGCACCTTACGCGGCCCCGGGAAACGTAGGGCGAAGCGACTCCGGACGAGCGCGTGGTCAGAGTCCACAAATGTGTTCCAAAACGACCGGCAGTCAGTTATGGACCCGCGCCATCGGTAACTGATGGCAA